ACACCTAATGGCCTCTGTAGAAAGGCCTTGAACTTGGAGGATCTTGGACCTAATGGCCTCTGTAGAAACACCTTGAACTTGGAGGACCCTGGACCTAATGGACTCCGTAGGGGTGCCTTGAACCTGGGCTCCATCTGGGGGACTGTGTACCTAATGGCCTCTGTAGAAGGACCGTGGACCTGATGACATCTGCAGGGGATCCTTGGACCTAATGAACCCTGGAGGAGGACTTTGGACCTGATGGCCTCTGTACCAGGGCTTTGAACCTAATGCTGTCTGTAGGCAGGGCTTGGACCTACTGGCCTCCGTAGGGGATCCTTGGAGCTGATGGCCTCTGTAGGAGGGACTTGGACCAACTGGCCCCTGAAGGAGGACTTTGGACCTGATGGCCTCTGTGGAAAGGCGTTGAACTTGGAGCACCTTGGACATAAAATCCTCTGTAGGAGTGCCTTGAACCTGATGGCCTCTGTAGTACGGCCTTGAACCTAATGGTCCCTGAAGGAGGACTTTGGACCTGATGGCCTCTGTAGAGGGGCCTTACACCTAATGGCCTCTGTCGAAAGGCCTTGAACTTGGAGGACCTTGGACCTAACGGCCTCTGTAGAAACACCTTGAACTTGGAGGACCCTGGACCTAATGGCCTCTGTAGAAAGGCCTTGAACTTGGAGGACCCTGGACCTACTCGACTCCGTAGGGGTGCCTTGAACCTGGGCTCCGTTTTGGGCACCGTGTACCTAGTGGCCTGTGGAGAAGGACCATGGACCTGATGGCCTCTGTAGGGGAACTGTGGATCTGATGGCCTTTGTAGAAAGGCATTGAACTTGGAGGACCTTGGACCTAATGGCCTCTGTAAGGGTGCTTTGAACCTGATGGCCTCTGTAGGAGGGCTTTGAACCTAATGGTGTCTGTAGGGGGGCCTTGGACCTAATGGCCTCCATAGGGGATCCTTGGACCTGATGGCCTCTGTAGGAGGGCCTTGAATCTAATGGTGTCTTTAGGGGGGCCTTGGACCTGATGGCCTCTGTCGAAAGGCCTTGAACTTGGAGGACCTTGGACCTAATGGCCTCTGTAGAAACACCTTGAACTTGGAGGACCCTGGACCTAATGGCCTCTGTAGAAAGGCCTTGAACTTGGAGGACCCTGGACCTAATGGCCTGTGTAGGGATGCCTTGAACCTGATGGCCTCTTTAGGGGGGCCGTGGACCTAATGACCCGTGGAGGACGACTTTGGACCTGATGTCCTCTGTATGGGGGCCTTACACCTAATGGCCTCTGTAGAAAGGCCTTGAACCTGATGGCCTCTTTAGGAGCGACTTGAACCAACTGGCCCCTGAAGGAGGACTTTGGACCCGATGGCCTCTGAGGAAAGGCCTTGAACTTGGAGGACCTTGGACCTAATGGCCTCTGTAGGGATGCCTTGAACCTGATGGCCTCTATAGGGGAGCCGTGGACCTAATGACCCCTGGAGGAGGACTTTGGACCTGATGTCCTCTATATGGGGGCCTTACACCTAATGGCCTCTGTAGAAAGGCCTTGAACCTGATGGCTTCTGTAGGAGGGCCTTGAACCTAATGGTGTCTGTAGGGGGGCCTTGGACCTGATGGCCTTTGTAGAAAGGCATTGAACTTGGAGGACCTTGGACCTAATGGCCTCTGTAATGGTGCTTTGAACCTGATGGCCTCTGTAGCAGGGCCATGAACCTAATGGTGTCTGTAGGGGGGCCTTGGACCTAATGGCCTCCGTAGGGGATCCTTGGACCTGATGGCCTCTGTAGGAGGGCCTTGGACCTACTGGCCCCTGAAGGAGGACTTTGCACCCGATGGCCTCTGTGGAAAGGCCTTGAACTTGGAGGACCTTGGACCTAATGGCCTGTGTAGGGATGCCTTGAACCTGATGGCCTGTATAGGGGGGCCATGGACCTAATGACCGGTGGAAGAGGACTTTCGACCTGATGTCCTCTGTATGGGGGCCTTACACCTAATGGCCTCTGCAGAAAGGCCTTGAACCTGATGGCCTCTGTAGGAGGGCCTTGAACCTAATTCTGTCTTTTGGGGGGCCTTGGACGTAATGGCCTACATAGGGGATCCTTGGACCTGATGGCCTCTGTAGGAGTACCTTGAACCCACTGGCCCCTGAAGGAGGACTTTGGCCCCGATGGCCTCTGTGGAAAGGCCTTGAACTTGGAGGACCTTAGACCTAATGGTCTCTGTAGGAGTGCCTTGAACCTGATGGTCTCTGTAGGATGGCCTTGAACCTAATGGTCCCTGAAGGAGGACTTTGGACCTGGTGGCCTCTATAGAGGGGCCTTACACCTAATGGCCTCTGTCGAAAGGCCTTGAACTTGGAGGACCTTGGACCTAATGGCCTCTGTAGAAACACCTTGAACTTGGAGGACCTTGGACCTAATGGCCTCTGCAGAAAGGCCTTGAACTTGGAGGACCCCGGACCTAATGGCCTCTGTCGAAAGGCCTTGAACTTGGAGGACCTTGGACCTAATGGCCTCTGTAGAAAGGCCTTGAACTTGGAGCATCCTGGACCTAATGGCCTCTGTAGAAAGGCCTTGAACTTGGAGGACCTTGGACCTAATGGACTCCGTAGGGGTGCCTTGAACCTGGGCTCCGTTTGGGGGACCGTGGACCTAATGGCCTGTGTAGAAGGGCCGTGGACCTGATGGCCTCTGTAAGGGTGCTTTGAACCTGATGGCCTCTGTAGGAGGGCCTTGAACCTAATGGTGTCTGTAGGGGGGCCTTGGACCTAATGGCCTCCATAGGGGATCCTTGGACCTGATGGCCTCTTTAGGAGGGCTTTGGAATTAATGGCCTCTGTAGGGATGCCTTGAACCTGATGGCCTCTGTAGGAGGGCCTTGGACCTAATAGCCCCTGAAGCAGGACTTTGGACCTGACGGTTTCTGTATGGGGGCCATTGGACCTAATGGCCTCTGAGGGGGGCCCTTCCAACTTGGGGATTTTGTGATTTTCTGAGTAAAATATCTAAGTCTGACCATATTATCTGAGACCAATTTCAGTCTTGGGGTACTCTTTACCCAGGTAATGGATGGACTTGGCATTTTTCATTATTCTAGGCTGGAACGAATTCATTTTCCGCTCCTCTGTTAAAGCAAGTTACGGACCAGAGAGAACCCGCTCATAAATCCCATGCTGAAGAAGAAAATTCAACTGGACTCACTTTCTTATACTTGGATTTGTAGTGTAAGGCTCTGTCCACAGATGTCAGCCACTCCTGCTCCTTTGTAGACTCAAAGTAAAAGAAAGCTTCTGTGCTTAAATCCAGTTCTTGAAACCTAATAAGAAGGGGATATAGAGATGAATACATACTGCTTTAGCTATTTCTAACCTACTCCTTCTCAAATCTAGAAATACAGGATCAAAAAGGGGAAGAGAAAAACAATCAGTACTTTCCTAGAAGTGTTCTAGTCACTGCAGTGTCCAGTGATGACATAGAACTTTCTTTTCTGAAGATTCTAACATTATATTTAGAAGACATATAAAGAAAAATGCACTGAATATTATGCATTTCCAAAAGGTGGGAAAGAAAGTTTGGCTCTGAGCTCTGATGAAGTCATTGCTACCAAGTTATCTCAAACTTTGGCTTTTAAGATTAAAAAAAGGGGCAGCTAGGTGGCGCAGTGGATAGAGCACAGGCCCTGAAGTCAGGAGGACCTGAGTTCAAATCTGGCCTCAGACACATAACACTCACTAGCTGTGTGACCCTGGGCAAGTCATTTAACCCCCTTGCCTAGCCAAAAAACAAAAACAAAAACAAAAACAAAAACAAAAAAAACACAAAAAGATTTCTCTAAAGAAACAAAACTGAGAAGGAAAGGGGCAGATCTGACAACAGTATCTCTTACCCAAGGCAGTAAATATCTGGAGGATCGGTATCACAGTTCAGCCAGGGTTCCAAAGCACTGTCTGGAGACTGACCATTCACATTCCATGTTCCAATAAAGAACCTGGCACACACCAACGACCAAAACAGATTATTTTAAAAAAACAAAACAAAAACCCAAATATGAACCGATATAAAGTGTTTTCTTATGTTACTCACATCGGAAGATGCAGCACTTGGGAAAAATAGTTATTTCAAACATGTTTTCAAAATCTGGCCAGACATGCAAGCAAACGCCCCTGTTCTCAGCATCCATGAGTACACATGGACATACTTACTCACATTCATCACCTAAATTGTTTTCCTTAGGAAAATCTACCAAAATGAGCACTATAATAGCTCACATTTTTGCTAGCACTTTAAAAGTGCTAATACAAAGCACTCACCTCACAATAAGCAGTGCAGGTACAATTATCCCCATTTTACAGAAGAAGAAACTGAAGTTCAGCAAAGGGAAGAGTCTTGCCCAGAGTCACAAAGGAGAATGAAGTTAACTGCACAGGACAATTTATTTACTTATTCATCATTCCCAATTCTTACATCAAGAGTAATTAGGCAGCTACTTGATGGGAATACCTTGCAGACAACAAAGTTATTTTCATGTATACTCGGATTCTGGGACTTTTAAAGAGAGGTGGGAAGATATAACTTTACTAGAAGTTAGAGTCAAGTCTGCCACCTTTTTTTCCACAGGCTACCATGGGACTGTAGAGACCGGGGATCTCATCGATGTGGGGAAGGTGCCAGTGGGAAAACTCTCTCTGTCATACAAATTAGCAACTCATTTGTAGCTTATCATCTTCCAGAGTAGCTTTGGGGCACTTGGAGGTTAAGTGACTTGCCCCTGGTCACACAGCTAGTATGTGTCAGAGGCAGAACTGGAACCAAGGCCTTCCTGACTCCCAGGATGGGCCTCTAACCACTACTCCATACTGCCTTATTACTACATAGAATAATACCAAGAGGGAAATCAGAAGGGGGGAACCTATAACTATCTGAATTGTTTACATACAGATACAAAGGTCATAGGGAAAGAAGAGTACTTAGAGAGTATGACTTAGGATAGTAGCTTAACTAGAACTCGTGGAATGTGATAGAACAGTCTGGAACCCTAGACTACACTGTTCAAGAAAGACTGAAAGGAAGATGGCACTGCCAGTCATCTAACAAATGTGTACTTGGTACATGGCTGTGTACAGAGCAGTCTTCCAAGTGCTGGGGGAAGATAGAACGTTTAGACCAGATGCTATTTCTCTGTCTTCAAGGAGCTTACAATCTATATAAGGAATAAGACACAGAATCATATAAATAATTAATAATAACGACGATAATAACTCTTAGCATTTACATAGCACTTATTATGTGTGCCCACTGTGCTAAGTTCTTCACAATGACATCACATGGTAAGTGCATCAGAGCTACAAAATGAATTCATTACCAGCTGTGGTAGAGGTTGGAAACTGTAAGGCTTCCGGTAGGGGGAGGGAGTCAAATTTGAGTTTTAAAAGATGACTAGGGAAGAGAAATACATCCTAGACGTTGTGAAGAAAATGAGTAAAGGCAGAACAGGGTTAGATGTAGAAATTTGACCTTTTCTCCCTTAGATCTCAAACAGTAAGTACAGTGTTTGTACTTCAAGTTTGATTGTCCATTACAGTTATCTGTACACAAATCCTATCTCCGCCGTGAACTTTATGTGGGCAGAGACTGTACCTTCTTTTCTCGGACCAAGTAGTCAAAAACTCTTTAAAAGTAATGAAAATAAGGAGTCCATGCCTATAAAGTCAAATTCTTTAGCAATCACTAGACATTGTCTGGTCATGCAAGCACCATGTTTATACCCATTCCCTGCTAAGTTACTTTGTCCTACGCTAAGGTACTATATATACAAAATAGCATGGAGCATTAAGTCAATTGCCCAAAAAATTTGGGCAGATGATGTCTTAGTTAAGCTTTGTGTCTCACTCGGTGCCTACCTGAGGGCTCTGTAGCGAGCAGCTCTTAACAAATTTTTGTCACACTGAATGTAGTTGGAAGTATGGGAATGAGGTCAACAGGGAGAAAAGTATTTAGGTCAGGGCGAGAATAGAAAAAGAATGAAAGGGTTATTACAGAAGTCTGTTCCAGACCTCCAAGTCAGAAGGAGGCAGTAGGTGAAACTTCAGGCAGCTCTGAGTCAGAATCTGGTGATGATAGGGGGAGAGGAAGGGCCTTCAATATTTAACTACCCAGACACCTCCTTGAAAAATCATTGCACAGGTAAACAGACGAACAAGCTGTTGAAGTATGTTGAAAAGCAGTCTCTTAGTTTAGATTATTTTAATTTTTTTCTTATTAACTTAAAAGAACTTGTCATGGCTGTAAAGGTGGATGGTACTCTCAGGAGAGGTGACCACAGAAGAACAAAATCCTATGTTTTGGCGATTAGGATGTGGTAATAAATTGGTAATTAGAAATTCGAAGGGAGGTTGTGGAATCTCTCCAGATGACTGCAGAGACCACAACTGTCTGTCTTGGCCCTTAACTAACTCAGAGGCAAGGGAGAGAAGCAGTTGGCCCTTTTCACCCTCTAAGGTATTCAGGAAAGTTTAAAGGTGGCAACCCAAATGTCAAATGACATATATGACGCGCCCATCCTCCTTTCCTTGGGGGAGTGAGGGAAGGGAAGGCGTCCTAACCTGAAAGTCTGAATATTCACATATTCTTTCTCTCGCTTTGCCAGAATGTGTCTGATGAGTCCCTCTCGCTGCCCAGACTGGGAGGTGGGCACAAAAAGCTTCCGCATGGTATTGGTCACTTTTGGCTGGTCTTTGCCCACAGCTTCCTTTTCACGTAAAAACCTGGCAAGGGAATAAGGGAATCAAAACCACAATTCTCTTGGAGTCGAAGTCTATCATATAGGACTTAGGTGCTTCTCAGACAGGACTTACTGTTTGCTTATGTGGCCGGGGGGTGGTGGGGGCTCCCGACGGGTCCTTATTTGCCTATTGTGTATATTTATTTTCTTCTCCAAACTCATTTCAGTGAAATTATCTTCAAATCCTAGCACTCCTGAAAATGCAAGAAGCATTCAAGTTATTAGGGAGGTTTTGCCCCCCTCCTCTAAAAGAGTTTAGAACTAACAAGGTCAAAGGGAAAAAGGGATAACTTCCAAGTAAGTCAGTGTAGGGCTAGAAATTTGAGCACTTTCAGACTGAAAGAAGATACCAGGGAGGATGGGAAAAGAGCATTACCTTGGAGGTCTGGGGGGCAAGCACATCAGTCAGGAAGGGTTGACATACTAAGTAGAAGTAGAGACACATTAACCCGGAGCCTGAAGAGATACCATACACTACGTGAAGGGTTAGAAGGAAGTTAAAAGCTGGAGTGGACCATGGGAAACCAGGCCCCTGGGCACTCCAACACTGCCATTTAGTCACATCATCTCATCTGTACAGATAAAAATCTCATGACCACAATGATCAGAGCAGCCATGGAAAGAGATTCTTCTTTAGTACCTGAAACATCTGATTCATTGGGAGTTTTTTCCGAAGTTTCTAATTTCTGGTACCAGCTGGTGGACTCCCTGAACTCAGGAACTGAAGTAGGTTTATAAGCTTGAGAGAGAGAGAGAGAGAGATAAGCATAAAAAACTGGTCACCCAATACCAAGTGGAATTCACAAAGAAAAGGCCAACTGCAATGGCCCTGGGGCCAACTCAGGGCATCCAAATTGACTATAAAGTAGGCCAACGATAAGCAGTGACAGTTCTGCCTTCCAAGGTAGCTCTAGATTTGAATGCTCATCCCCAAACCTATCCTTCCAAGTCCATCTAGAAAACAACTGACCTCTAGGCTGAAGTAGTGAGGCCCCTGTTCAATGGCCTTGGTAAATTCTAGTCTGTGTCAACATAGAATAAATCCACCTCTATCCAAAGGAGATTAAAAACAAAACAAAACAAAACAAAAAACACCACCAAGTATCAAATTACCATCCTGAGCAGCAAGGATGTCTGTGAGAAAAGTCAGGCACCGATCCTCATCAGGGATTTCAAAGAGACGCTCTCCTACCCACTCACCCTGGACCCGGATTTTGCAGGGAGCTAGAAAGAGGCAAACAGAGGGCTAAGGAACAAGACTGGTTGATCATGAGCTTAACTTTTTTTTGGCAAATGAGAGAATGCAGATCACAAAGAATACAGAACACTGACAAAATCATGTTAATAGCTGACATTCACAGAATACACCTCAAGGTTTGAAAATCCTTTTCTATGCATTATCGCATTTGATTCTCACAATAATCCTGGGAGGTAGATATTCATTCCCTATCTTACAGATGATGATAATAATAATCATAGTAACAGCAACATTTATACAGCTCTTACTATGTGTCAGATATTGTGCTAAGTGTTTTTACAAATATTACAACAACCCTGGGAGGTAGGGGCTATTATTATCATCCCCATTTTACAGATGGAAAAACTGAGGCAAATAGAGGTTAAGTGACTTGCCCAGGGTCACATAGCTATAAGTGTCTGTGACCAGATTTGAACTCAGGTCTTCCTGACTCCACATCTATGCTCTATCAACTGTGCTACCTACCTGCCTCAAATAAGATAAAAAAACCAAGGCATACAGCAGTTAAATGACTTGACCTTGGTCAGGAAGCTAGAGGAAGGTTTTCAACCTAGGTTTTCTTGATTGTAAAGGCAATGTTCTTTCCATAACATTACACTGCCTCAAGCAATTCTACAGATTAAGAACTAGAAAGGGAAAAGGCCAGGCCAGAAATTCAGAGTGCAATTAGGGGCCCTAAGGGGTTAAAAGGCCAGGAAAGCCTGCTGTGCTGATGTAGAGGTAAATTGATGTTTTTAGGAACCAACTTCAGAAACCAGTCCAAGATGGTGACAGGGATAATCCAGAATAGAAGTGAATACCCCCAGAGGCTGATGGGCCATGGAAATGGGCAAACTAATATAGTAATGCCCACTGCACCCTCATGGTATACTAATCTATTTCCAAGAAAGTCAAAAGTCAACCCATGACACTGGAGATTTTGGGGAGGGGGAACGGGCTGTCTGTACCCAGTGAAGGAACATTCCTCACTATCAACTGGCCTCACTTCTTTGCTGTGGATCCCCATTATTATTAGCTAGTTATAGCTTAAAAACAGAGGACAAAAGGCAAGTGGGATGGTTGGCTAATTTGGCAGCCACATTAAGGTATACAGGACTGTCTTAGGCCTTCCTGAAGCAAAAGCAGTCTACGTAATTCCCTTCCAAATGGAAAATCCTTAATAAGTAATAATAAGCATTATTCATGATGGCTATTAAAACTTTACCTCCCAAATACAATATAAAAGCAATATCCTCTGGTCATTTAGTAAAAATAAAAATAAATGTAGCTAAGTAGAAGATCTATCTAGGCCTTTTCTTTACATGTAACAAAGCATTCAAACTTGTCAAATACTTGGCATGAAATGAACTTCCTTGTTTCGTTAGGGCAGTGACCCATTTGTGAACCTTTGCCTATCTTCTTTTCCCTCGTGCTCATAATCTGCTGGCTTTAGTTCAGAAAAAAGAAGAAGAGGTTTACCACACTGGGAGCACTCAGAATTATTTTGAAAGAATTGGGGGAAGAAAGCTTGAGCAAAAAAAATAAAACCAAAAGGAGGGCACCCAGGGAGAAAGAGAGGAGAAGGCACTGAGCATAGGCTGCTTCGAATCCTTTCTAGAAGCATAAATAATAAATAAAATAAATAACAAGGGCACTGAATAGAGTAAAACACAGGGGAGAGAGAAAAGGGGTGGGGGTGGGGGCAAAGGACTGAGCAGAGATGTAGCAATCAGAAGCAGCCTGGAGGCAAAGAATTAAAACTCCTTTCTTTGGGCCCATACTGACCCCTTTCCTAGAGAATCTTTATGAAAAATGTCAAGATGCATGAGACTGTGGGACAGGAGATTTTAAATAAGAATATTCTCCTCAATGCCGTGAAAGATATTTTGGCAAAACCGATTGAACAGCTTCTAAGATTAGGGCCCCAGACACACTCAGAGAGTGCCATATAACCCACCTGACAACAGCATCTGGACAGAGGACTCCAGTCGCATGCCAGGCATTCCAATGGCACCAATTTCAAAGAGACCCCAAAGCAGGAATCAAAGGAAATTTATAATGGTTCTGAGACCATTCCCAACACCCCGGAGGATTCATGTGGCCCAGGATGAACATAAGCCTTTTCAAGTGATCTCTAAACCACTACTATAGATCATGTTACTTCTTTCTCATAGAAAATCATAGAAACCTGAGGCTGAAAGAGAACTGAGAGATAGATCTGAGCCAATCCTTGCATTTTACAGGCGAGAATCTTTCAAACAAGTTAATTCTCGCTCATTTAAGTTAATCAATTGCTGATAACAAAGTCCTCTCCTCAATACTCCATTAATTTAGAACATGAGAAAGATTTTTCAGCAGGCAAATGCCTAGAAAAAGCCCTATGATGGTAAACCACATGAAGGAGTCAAATCAGGACCACCAGATGACCCAAGAAATGACGGGCCCAAAGGCTCAGGCTAGTTGCTTACTTCCAACAAACTCTATGTGCCCTGATGGGCAGGCAATGTTCAGGTCAGATATCAAAGTGAAAACTGGCTTTCCTCTAGGTTTTCCTGTAATGCAAGAATGATTCTTGCTAAATTTTCCCCCAGTCCAATTCTCTACAATGCCAATATATGTGCCAATACATGATTGATTTCTATACGATAGGAGAGGATGCAATAAAGCCCATTTTTTGATAAATGCTGCTTAGTTTGACTTTTCATTTTCGGGTCATAACCTCACCAGGAACAGAACCTACCACCAGTATCTCATTTTGACAGAAAGGTCAGCTGTTGCTACTGCTGCAACTGCTACAGTTAAGGCTAGGGATTCAGGCCATCACTGCCTTTGCTCTATTTTCATCTTTTTCTCCTTCTCTTTTTTAAGCAGAAGAACACATGGGTAGGTTATGTTCTCCCTTGGACATCGGCAAATAGGGGCCAGCAGCTGGGTTTATTTAACTCAGTCTTATAGGATCAGAAAGCTGGGAAGAGCAGCAACACTACTCCAAACCTCCAAGAGAATCCTAGTATCAGAACTTGAAGAGACTTACGGAAGCTGTGGCTACCCAAATCATTAGACTCTGACACTGCTAAAGGTTGGAACCATGTCTAAACAAAACCATGTATATGCCCCATTTCCTCTAGCACAATGTCATGCACCGCTCCATCAAAGTTAGGAAGAACATTAGGTTAGGAAGATTCCGATTCAGTGGTCAGACCTGCTGGCCCACAGCAACCTCCCAAGTGTTGATTTGTCTTTTCCCCATAACACATTACAATGAAAAATGGTAAACAGTGAAGAACAGCCTGCAGAGGAAATCAAAGAGGAATGTGTTCTTGAAAAGTTCAAAGGAAAGTAAAGAGATGGACAAAGCTCCCTCTGGCCTGGATACAGACTCCTAGGGAGGAAGAGGGGGGCTTAAAAAAAAAAGGGGGTACAGGAGACAAGGAATTTCAGTAACTCTGTAGTTCCCAAAGACAATATAAAGAAAGGAAAACAGAATTATCTACTAAGGAGTCAAGGGAAAAAACCCCAGGAGTGAGAGATGGTAGAATACACACAAAACAAAGTTAGAGAGAGCTCACATCAGTGCTTTGGCTTAAGGTACTGGTGGCCTGAGGGCATCAAGGCCCAGCCTGTTTTCCATTTTTTCTAAAATTCTAGTTTGCTACTTGATTTTTTTTGCATTTGATCTGGTGTTAATTTGTATGGTTGTCTTAAAAAGATGGAGAACAGAGGCTAAGATGCTAGAGGGAATACCATTCTTTCCTCCTCTGCCTTCCTCATAGTAAATGTTCAATTAAGTGAATACTGATTGTTTATTTGCTGAGATTTATTCTATTTGAGAAAATACTCACTGTGGGCTGCTATGTCAATCAGTAGGGTCTCTTCTGCTTCTGGGAAAAAAATGTTAATTAGTAAGGGAAAGATAATTTATAAACATCAAAAGAATTACAAACCCAACTCAAAAAACACTCCAGCCTTCAATAATCACTTTTAGGTCTTAAAAGTCATTCAGAAAACCCTTGACCTTTTGGGAAGGTACCCAAGCTTCTGAGACTGCAGAGATATCAACTAAGAGAAAAATTCATTGAACAGATAATTAAAGGGAATCTTCAAAACAAGGCAAACTCCTGGAGTATACAGTTCATACAGTCAGGGAAATAGTACCAGTAGAAATTCAAATGAAGAAAAATTTAATTCCCCTTAACCAAATAACCAGATTTAATATACTAGTTCTTCAGATGTTTTCTCTTCAGAGACTAAGGTAAATAACGGACCTCAGAAGGCCAGGAATTACTATCCTAACATAGATCTGTTCCATAATGACCTTCCTAGGGATCCAAGCCACTTAGGGGCCCAGTTCATCTGAAGGTTTTCTACTGCCTTCTGGCTATGTTTAGCACCTGTGACCTCAGAGCCACACATGCTCAGGAGGCAGGCAGCCAGTTACTGGCTCCTTCTGGAGGATCAGGGCTCTCCTTTGGTTCTGGCTGCTTGCTGTCAAGTTCTCTCACCTTTGGACTCTGGCCTGCCTTGGAACTATGGTACCTACCTGTTCCTCCCTCACTTTCTTCAACTTGGCTTCATGGCCCTAGGTCTTTCAGATCCATGTGTATGAATACTACTGTGTATTACAGCTATGTGTTCTTGTGTCTGATCCCCTTAACTGCACTGTAAGGCCCATCTTAAGCCTCCTGATCATAGCCCCTCTAGCACATGACAGCCTACTCCTGTTACTGTCTCTGCCACGGTACTTTATCACTTGCAAAAGCATCCATTTAATTCTTGTGCAAACATGTCACTCCCCTCTTCAAAAAACTTTTAGTGGCTCCCTATTGCCCAACAAGTACAGTTAAAATTTCTCATTTCTGGTATTCAAGGCCCACCACTATCTGGTGGCATCTGACTTTTGTAACATTATCTAAGGTCACTTCCTTCTGCTGTACATGCTACCAGCCCAACTGGTCTATTCTGCCCCTTGAGCTTTCCTACCTCGGTGTCCCTGTGAAGTGTTTCCCTGTACCTTGACTTATTCCCCTCTTTGCCTGCTGAATTCCCCTCTAGCCTTGAAAGGTCCTCACTGCCCTCTCTTCTTCCACAAAACCTTTCTTGCTTCTAAGTAATGTCCCTGCCCTTTGGACGATATTCTGCCTCCTGTATCCCTTTGTTTCAGACTTCTCTAGTGTATTTCATGGTGCATTGTGTGTGGGCATGATAGTCCTCCTTTTTCATTCATTCATTTTTTGGGGTTGATGCCTTAGCTCTCTGGATAAAAGGTGAGTTTCATGAGGACGGGTACTTTGTGCCATCTCAACTCTGTCTCTCCCCTAGTACCAGCACAGAGCTCTGCAAGAGAAGGGGCCAGAACAACGATCTTTGAATGGAATGGTGACAAAAAGACTGTGAGGTAGATAGAGTGCGCTACTAAGTCTCTCCAGTTCCAGACAGAGTTGGTCTAAAGACAATTATGAATTTGGGTCTACCCCCGAAACAAGAAAAATAAAACACCTACCAGGAATTAATATAAGCAGGGCAGCTAGGTGGTACAATGGATAGAGTACCGGCCCTGGAGTCAGGAGGACCTGAGTTCAAATCTGGCCTCAGACACTTACTCGTTGTATGACCCTGGACAAGTTATTTAACTCCCATTGCCCCGCTCCCCCAAAAAGAATGAGTATGAACACTATGGAGTGATGTCCTTTAGCTCAGTGCAATGCTCAAAAGTAGAACTTGCATAAATAATATACGAATTGGAAAGTAAGTAGGCTATGGAGGAAGTAAAATATCCCCTATAAAAATAATGACTGGGGTTCTTGAGCATTTTGTGTATTATGGGTCCCTTTGGCAGTCTGTGGAAGCCTACAAACCCATTCTCAAAATAATGCATTTCTTGAGAAAACTTCATAATGAAACTGTGTCTGGAGGTTAGTGAAAATCAAGCTGTCATTTTTTTTCCATCCAAATACACAGATTCTCTAAAATCTATCCATAGGATGCTTTGAGGGTCTGTGGGCCCCAGGTTAAGAAGCCCTGCACTAGACTGCTAATCATTTCTAAATTCCAGAGAAGAAATGCTAAAATATCACAATTTTTTTAAAATTTGCAATTCATTTCTTCTCACTGAAACCTGTGATTTGAAGAACTGGGGGTGGGGAGGGTTGATCTTTGAGGTAGGAGGAGGAGGAACACAGGGCTTCCTGGAAGCAGAGCAAACTGGAAGGGCTCCCTTTGGCTTTTCTCCCCAGCCAAATGGCATAAGGGGCTACATGTTATCAGAAGGACAGGCCACATGTTATCGGAAGGACAGGCCGAACGTGGAAGATAGACGTAACCGACCAAGATATACACAGAGGAAGGCATGTCGGTGCCTGGTTTAAAAGAACATCTGGCTGGCCAAATAATTCCATCTCTTCAGTGCTGTGCTGATAGCAGTACTCATGGAAGATTAACCTACTCTAGCCAGGCCTCTCTCAAAAGATCCCTGGAGGCAAGCACTGGTACACTAAGCTTCTTCCTGCCTGCTAAATCAAGTGGGCCCAAAGGAGACATTGTAAGACCATCCTCAAATGTTCAACTGCCGAGCTCAATTCAATCTGAGGTTACAGAATTAGCACGTACTATGAAATGAAATAACAGATAGCTTCTCTTCTCAATCCCTAGATAGGAATTCAAAAGAGCAGAGGCCCAAACATTTTTTCCCCTGGAATCTACTTCCCTGTGATTCATCAGTATTAAGGCTTAACAATATGGACTACAGACTGTGAGATATTTTGGTTGGGCTGGGCTTCCCCCCCAACCCCAAAGGGGAATGCCAGAAGACACATAAAATGCTCACACTTTCAGACAAGGGTAAGACCCATGGTTTGGGTCAGTGAATACAGCAGGTTCAATTTCCATGTGGGTCAATCAGCATTCATTTCAATTCAACAGACCTTTACTGAATGCCTACTGTGTGCTGGGCACCATGCTGCATGATGAGGCAGATGGAATGTTTGGATAAGGTATGAGTGATAATGTGAGCAAAAGTAGGTAGAGGTGAGAGAGCATGGGTAGGTTCACAGGACAGAGTAGTTTGGATTGAATGAAGTGTAGAGTGTGTGGAGGAGAGAATAACAGCTAAGGCTAGACAGGCAGGGTAGTGACAAATTTGGGAAGGCCTTAAATGCCAGACCTAAGTCTGACCTTCCTGCATTAGGCAAAAGGAAACCATTGAAGATTCCTGCACATGGGAGCATTGTGACCAGATCTGAGCACAAGGAAGATTAGTTCAGGTGGTGTTAAGGACAGATTGAAGGAAGACCTGAAAAAATCTGTTAGAAGTAAATTGCCCTGGTACAGCCAGGTGGCAACAAGGGCTTGTACTAGGGTGGTGACCATGGGAATAGAGAGGAAGGGATAAATGTGAGGGATGTTGCAGAGGTGAAAATGGCAGGTCATGAGAGGTGAGATGAAGGGATAGGTCAGAGAGAAGCTCTGGTCTCTGGCCACAGACAATACACCTCCTTAAGCTCAGACAATGAGCCAACAGGAATGGGTCACCAAGTGAAGCAGAGTGTAGAGAGTTCAATCCACCTAAAACCTTCCCTGGACAAATCATTCAAAGCATCCATCCTGCTAACAGTGGATTTAATAGGTTCATCTTTGTACACCTGTTGTACAACACTGATTGTGACTGAGTTTGAGTGTATGTGATGCCAGATAACACAATAATGACCGAAGAGGGAAAATTATGAAACTAGCTAAGTAATCAAAGCTTGTACCTTGTATACATTTAAGGTGGCTATTAATAGGAATGACATCTTGTACAGGCACCTCCTTTTCATAAAACTGGATTATTAACCTAGGAAACAGAAGGATGGATCTAAGAGCAGCGACCAATGAAAAGTGTTAAAAGTACCAAATAACAGTCCCCATTTCTGCGGTTCCTTAAGGTGACACACTTCTTTACATACGGTACCTCATTTGAGCCCCCCCCCCACCTCCCCCATGAAGGAGGTAATGTTATCATGACCACGTTATTATCATTATGAATGGGGAAACTGAAGCACAGAGAGATGACCATACAATTCATCAAGGTGAAAAGCTGGGATCCTTAGGCCCAGACAGCCTGACTTCAAATCGAGTGCTCTTTCCAGTACACCATACCGCCTCGCCAATGTTATGTTCACATTGAGAATCTACATTCATTAGAGGATTATGACCATAAGATCTTTTCTTTTATTAGACTTCCTGCATGTGGTTCCCTACGACATGTATAGGGTAGCACTGACAGCTAGGGATTGCCCCAAAGCATTGGCCTTAAGGGGTCATTTTTGACAACTCACAGCAGGGTAGATGACATAAAAAACACTGTTGTGTCCTCACCCTATAAATGTTTACAAGCTAAGCCACATGACGTGCTTCCAAATATACAAACTGAACAAGGAAATTCTTATCTTTCACTTCCCAAGACTAAACGTTAGTAAGTCAAGTTTTATACTTCTGTATACCCCATAACATCACCCCAACCACTGTTATTTCATAACGTTAGGCTATTATAACCAGATCACAAAAGCCTGTTGTAAGATCATAGCTTAGCCAATCCTTCTGAGATGCAAATTATAATATTTTTTTTCCTATGGGACCAGCTGTCCCTGTAACGATTTGTTTAATTAAACATGAGGATGTTGGGTGGGGTATATGTGACCACATAAAAGTTTGGACTGAACCTGAGTCCCCTAGAGTAAGATACAAGAACTGTAAAGTTGATGCTACTAATGAACTAGATGGCCTGTAATCAACGCATCACCTGTTGTCACTTGACCTTTTGGTAAGCAATCAGTCTGAGCCATCCTTTAAGGACTTGCTAAAATGGTTCAATTCTCATTTAAAAGTGAAATTGGTTTTCTGGGTTAACTTTCCATTTCTGTCTTATGCTTTTCTCCTTTAGGTTTTTTGTTTTGTTTCATTTTTTTTAAACATCTGTTAAACTTTATGAGGATACTCTAGGGGAGGGGAAATTGCCTAGCCAGATTCGTGGGAAGAATTCTCATTCTGCCTTCCCTTTCTTGATTCTGTTTGCCTAATATGGGGACGCTTCTTACATGAAGCTAACTGTGAAGGTCTTTGAAGGAAGTAGAAGAGAGGTCTGTGAGTCCAGATGGATACCAAAAACTAGGTAAAAGTAAAGGGCAAGGAGGAACTGTTGGTTTATGTTAACTTTACTCAAATATGCCACTTCTGGAGCAAAAGAATGTAGACTCGGGATAGCACTGGGAAGCAGCATAAACACTTCAATGGGACTGCAATCTTTGAGGTCACCATAAAACATGATAGCCCTGCGGTAAAAACTGGAGCCCAGGAAACAGTGTGGCTAGAAGTGAGTCTAAACCCTCCATCTAGCAATAATCCTTTTAAAGGAGAAAGTTGAAAAAGATAAAAGACTGTCATAAGGAAGCAATAAGGTTAAGGAGCACTACCAAGAGGTTGTAGAATAGCCTGAAACAAAAAATGTTGTTTGCCTGAGAAAGAATCAATGGGAAGCCAGCCTTGTTCCTGGCAGAGAATAAGCTGAGAGGCTTGAGCCTAACCTAGATTGGCAATCCTCCCAAGATATGTGATTTCATCAATGAGGGAACTACCCCAACTCTCATAGATCCCAACTTCCACCCATTCAAAAAATGGTCTTCATGCATTGGGGTGGCTGCAAAAAAAGATCCATCACCTCTCAGCCAACCTGTAGGGGATGAACTTCTCTACATTTAATGAGGCTAGTTCTCAGATGAAGATGACTGGTCTTGCTCAGGCTTGTGATTCAAAGTCTTGGCCTGCTGGTAGGTAGGACCTTCCAGAACAAAGCATCGAGAGTCCAGGGTCAGCTCTACATCATGATCTATGGAGGACTTGGTATAGGACTTGAGAACTATCCCTTGTGGGAGGGGGACCCCACAAATCTCTCTCCCTATTTTCTTGCTTAGCAAGAAAACCTTCTGAATTTAATTTGACTTTCCAAGCAACATAAGACACAAGAAACCACATACCGCGGATGGGATTTGCAGTCTGTAAGAAAGCCTTTTAGAAACATCTCCTTAACCAAGGAGATTTAGAGAAATTTAATGATGAGGTTAATAGTTTCCACACGTGTACTATAAAGACAACCAGGCTAAACTGTAATCAGTGAAAAATAATCTACACCTTTGGAATGTATAGCATGTTAAGAAAACCTGTTGAATTGAAGGGCACATTATTTTAACAAGAAGAACTAGGAATGATGTGGTTCTGATGGTGTCCAGAAAGAAGGGATTTGACAAGTAAAAAAATCAGATTTTTATCAACTACTGTCCAAGAGACACTGCAACCTATGGACATAACTATCTGGTCACTAGAATGTTATTTTCAATAATGGAATTAGAATAGTTCACCATGGCCTATGGGAAATATCTTTTGAGACTACCTAGGTCCTTTTGCTCTGACTGCATGGTCACCATACACAAACTTGGTTTATTAACTCAGTTTCTGAGTACTTTTAGTAACTAGGTAATGAATACAAGTTAGTAAGTGGAAGAAAAGATTATAAATCATAATATAATAGTATATATACAGGTGTTATACCATTATTAATTAATAGAAATATTATTAATAATATAATATGCATACAGGTGTTATATTATTGGTTATATGTAAATATTATCATGTGAATTAATAACATTATAATATATAAATGTTATTATAATGTGAATGTGATAATATGCAAATATTGACTTTGAATCAAGAAGAATGACATGTGAGACAGAGTGGCCTAGTGGGAAGAACCACAGAACATGAGTTTGAGTTCTTACTCCTCCACTGACTAGTTAGGCCACTTGGACAAGTCACTGAAGGGCCTAGGCCTTGGGGTTTTTTTTTTCCAAGAAAATAAGGGGGATGAGGACGGCAATGATCCCTATGCTTCCTATCTCACAGGGTTGCTCAAAGGATTCAAATGAGATAATGTGTGCACTAATGTAAAGAACTTTCTAACTATCAAATACTATATCTATTTAAGTGGTGCACTTTATACAAGTGACAGATTTGCATGGTTCTAAAGAGAGCCAGAGCCAGCCAAAGAACCTTTTCTATGCCGATCAAGGTGCTTCCATGCAATGGAGAGGACATAGGAAAAGGCTGGGTAAAACCGGCTTGGTTTTGTTGATGATAACAATAATGAAATAGCTTTCTGGTGCAAACTGATCTCTTGTGACTTTGGCTAGGCTAAGCTAGGTCACTCAGGCCCTGGTCACTCTCAGGCAAGTTGAATACCGAGTTGAGTTGGGAAAGTCTGAACCATGTTAATCCCACCAAAAGATACCACATCCTATAAGGAGGTCCAGCCTGAATTAGAAGCTTACTCACTGCATAACATGAAAAACATTCTTTAGTTAGTTCTTTAACAACTGAATAAATGGATGTTCTATTTGATAATTCAATAACCTGTTGAAATTTTTGTAGGATCAATTAAGCTACCAGGTGGTCTGACCAAGCCAGGATGAAATAACAGCTGTTTGTTATGCCATCCTTTAGGGAGTATCTGCTGAAAGATATGGATGAGAATTACACAGGGAAGTACCAAGTTCACAGATCCTTCAAGGTACCCCTGAACCATCAAGACTAAATTGACTGATTAGACCCTAGAGCACAAGTGCCTAGCACACAGCAGGGGGTCAGCCCATGGCAGGCTAGAGGATCAGTTACAGCCCAGAATGAGGTCACCTGGATGGCCTGGCAAGGCTGAGAGATGGGAGGCATCTGATGCAGACTTCTAAAGGAGTATCTGCTCTAGGAGGACTGGACAGCAACTTGATTAGAAAATAATCAAAGAGTAGAGGAGTAAGCAGAGATGATATGAGCAGAACCTGGCTGCCAAAAAGTCAGCCAGCTCAGAGCGAACGTAATGTTTAACGGTCACCAGAAAGACCTCAGAAGGTTCTGACTAGGGGAACAGTTAGGGCCCTTGGCACAGGTAATGCTGATGATGGTGTCACTATGAGGGCTATTCTGAGTACAGATAAGGTGGCAATGGTATGAAAGCTGGCAGCCACATGGACAGCTCACCACATTATTCTTTTGATCAGTCACCAGTAATTTATCAAACTCCCACTTCATGCTGTGCAAAGCTATTTTGCCCCCAAGTCACTTAGTGGGAGAGTTATTTATTAGTCCTCGATTGGGGGGGGGGGGGGGGGGGGGGAAAGCACTGGATTCAGAGCCAGGAGACCTGGGCTTGAGGCCCAGCTCTGATACTTATACTGGCTGTGTGACCTTTGGGTCAAATTATTAAAGTGGTAATGTCTAAAGCAACTATTCTGGTGTCAAAAGTCTCCATTTAAAGGAGTTTCTAATTTTCTCATCATTGGCTGCAATCAGGGACCAAGCTACCCAGAATTCAGGAAGGCAAAGCCTAGTTTGTTAAAAGTAACAACACAGCATTTCTAAGGCACTTTTATTTAAGCTTTTCCTAAACATTTTCATATCTATTATCTCATTTTATCCACATCATAGACTGAAAAGGCCAAGCAAGGTGGAGAGGTGTTATTATTCTCACTATCCTGAAGAGATTGAGATGATATAGTGGAAAAAAATATTAAATTTGCACCAGGAGACTGGGATTTACTCTGTAACTTTGGGTAAATCACTTTCCAGTTCTGACCCTCAGTTTCTTCCCCTGCAAAATGGGGATGATACTTGCACCATTTATCTTGTAGGGCTGTTTTGAACAACCCTTCAAAGGCAACAAGAAGTCAGATGTTATTATAATAAAGTGAGATACCCCTCTTTGAGCTGTTTCCTTACCTGTAAAATCAACAAACCTTCAAGTACTATAGGAATACCAGATGGTATCATTATGTGACTTGTTCCTTCCTAAGCCTCAGCTCCCTCACTTGTAAAATGGGGATATATGTACTACCTACCTCACAAGGGTGTGAGGGAAGCCCTTTAAATCATAAGGGGATATGAAAAGGCCCAAGCCTTTGGAGCTGGCACAGAGTTGAGTCAGAAAGACCTGGGTTCCAAGTCCTTCTATGACATAGAAGTTTCATCACCCTGAGTAAGTCACTTAGGGATGATCAACTTTCTCCGATTTAAGATTCAGAGCAGGGCTGATCTCTCACGGTAGAGGGAGTTAGCTCATGCAGAGTTCTTTATGAAATCACAAATCCATACAATAGAGAAAAAGGAGGGAGGAGAGAGAGAAAAATAATTTGTTATTATTATTACTAGGATGAAGTAACAAGGCCAAATAAGTCAGTGGCAAGGCAAGGCATTCTTCACTTTTGGCCTCAGTTTTCTGCTCTGTAACATTAAAAAATTGGATTTTTTTTTTTTAGACAATTGGGGTTAAGTGACTTGCCCAGGGTCACACAGCTAATAAGTGTCAAGTGTTTGGTCTGAGGCTAGATTTGAACTCAGGTCCTCCTGACTTCAGGGCTGATGCTCTATCTGCTGCGCCATCTAGCTGCACCCAAGAATTGGATTCTTTCTAGGTTTCTTTCACCCCAACTTTGCTACTTGTGGGACCCACTGGTAGCTGGTCTCTCCTCTCATCATTCAGTTTCCTTCTCTGGAAAATAAGAGTGGTTAGACTATCTCTATAGAGGCCATAGGAGCTCCCTTTCAATTCTAGATCTAGGCATCTAGATACAGCACTACAGCACCATGCTTGGAGGCGGGAAAAACCAGGGAAGACACAGGTTCTAATCCCACCTGTGTGTGACCTGGAACACTCTGCCTCAGTTTCTGTATCTGTAAAATGGGGATAATAATAGCACTTTCCACCCAGGGTTGTTGTGACGATCAAATGAGATAATATTATTATAATCACTATAGTATTATTACATCTACAATCCCTTCCTCTTTCCTGGACTGGACTTATTCTCTCAGTAGAATGAGGTTGGCAGCAAGGTATAACATGGTCAAAGCTCTGGACTTAGAGTCAGGAAAACTTGGATTCCAATCTTGTCTCAGACACTTTAGTGACCCCCCCCCCCCCCCCCCCCCCCCCCCCCCCCCCATCCTCCCCCCCCCCCCCCCCCCCGGGGGGGGGGGGGGGTGTGTCCTTATTGGGACACACCAGGATAAGTAAAAGGGCCTTCAAAAAGGTTCCCCTCCTGCCCCCCCCCCCCCCCTCCTCCCCCCCTCCCCCTCCCCTCAATATTTCCCCCTTCTCTTCCCTCCCGCCATCCGCCTCCTCCGCCCCCCCTCCCCGGTCCCTCCTCCCTCGCTCCCACCACCCTCTCCTCCTACCTCCCGAATTCTCCTGCCCCTCAACGCTTCTCCTCCCACCACCCCCCGCCCCCCGCCCCGCCCCGCCTAGCCCTCGGAAGGCACTGCTCTTCACCCTGGGCCCGGGCGCCGCGCCCGGTGGTGGCCGAGGCTGGCTGCCTGGCACTGGCGGAGTAGTCCCTGCCTGCGGGGGATACCCAGGGCCCGGAGGATTCCCCTCCCCCCAGTCCGATCCGGAGGCTACTTACTCAAACTGTGCGCCCCTTCGGACCAGGGTCAAGCGGCAGGCCTCTCGTTCGGGGCCCTTCAACTCCCAGCCCTCGATTGTATGAAGCGGGGGCAGTCAAGGGATCCAAGCTCAAAGCCAAGGCAGGGGCGCCCAGCCCCGCCCGGCCGCCGTTTCGGTCACGGCCGCCCCCAGCGGCGGCGCCCCCCCCTCCCCGCCGCCCCTGCCCGCGCGCCACAGCGGGGGCAATCGCGACCGAAGCCCTTCTCTCCCTCTCCCCCTCCCCCCTCCGCCTCCCCCCTCCGTCGGCCCCCGCCCCTCCTCGCCCTTCCCCGAGGTGGATACTGTGAGGGACTGCGTTCTGGTCGTGGGCCGATCCATCAGGGCGGGCGGGCGAACGCCGGGGATTGCGAACACAGATCGCACGGTGTAAACCCGACGACCCAACCGCCAGCCCTCTCCCCGCCTCCTCCGCTTGCCTGACGGCCCGCCTTGCCTTGCCTTGCCTTGCCTGCCTGAAGAAATTAATAACCGCTGCCCAAAGAGCTCCCGCGCTCGGACTGCGAGATAGCGCCCCGAGCCGACTGTAGCGAGAACGAGTGCCAGTGAGCGCCAGCAGGAGCGAGCGCCGCCGTGAGCGCGGTGCTCCGCCCTCCGCCAACGGCGCCCCCGCGTGTCCTAACGCCACCACTGCAAAGCCGGAGCCTTCTGCCTGGGCCGTCGGCTCCCCCCTGGGAAGCCGGCCAGCCAGCCATCTGCTGAGATCACAGGCTTTCAACGAAACGACAATGGTCGCCCTAGATCATCCTCTCCAACCTGGGGCCCTTCCAGTTATCCATGCACAAGCGAGTACAAAGAACTTGGAAAGCCTAGCTTTCCTGTCCTATAGGGCTCAGCTACTTCATAGCTGGCTGAGTGACCCTGGGTGACACTTGGAGCCCTAGGCACTTTCTAAATCAGGCTGTTTAAAAAGGGCCCATCTGCAATGGTAGCTGAGGTTCCTTCACCAGATACGCAAATGAAATTATTCACAGGTACGGTTCTCCCCTCCCCCCGGCCCCCCATCCACCACCCCCACCTCCCCACAAAAAATGCCAAGCTTAGTACTGTGTTAAATTAACCAAAGAGGCTTGGACGAAAATGATCCCGTGGAACCCAGAGGCAAGAATGTTTGGCTCTGGAAGTCTGAAGACCTGGGCTGAAATTTTCCCTTTGATGTTACTGTACAACCTTGTGTGATCGTGGGGCTTGGATTAGACAAGGTCTGAGGTCCCCTTCCACTTCTAGGATCTAGGATCCCTAAATCTGCCCATTTCCACTCTAACAGTCTGTTCCGTGATTCTAATATGTTTAATGATGCCCGAGGGCCTTTGAAAACGAGTTCCCCTCTTCTGCTCCTCAGTCCCTTCTGCCAGGTTCTTTTCCCGCTGTCTCGTGCAGCCCTGTAAACCAGCAATCTTGGCCATTCCCCAAAGCACGCTAACTCTAAGCCCTTGGAGCAACCGTAGAGTTGGGAACCCCACCCAGTAAGAGAGCGTAAACACTTTAGACCCACACTTGGGCCCTGGGTAGGATAGATGGGAAGCTCACCTGCTGGCCTGAGGGTGGGGCGGGGAAGAACCAGTTCCCTGGGCTCTGCTCTGTTCTAGTTTAATTATTCTGGCTAACATAATTTCTAAAGTGCTAGAGTGAGAACGTTGTGTCAAAAGGTAAAAAACGTTCTACCTAGTCCTCTAAAATCATCATCCCCTTTCTGTCTAGCCCCACCCCCACAGCTTAAACAACATTTGGGGCATCTCACACAGCTGCATCTATTACCTCTTGTTGTATTTATAGTTGTCTGTGTACTCACATACACCCCCCCCCAAGCCCACCCCCCAAATTTAAGTTTAAAGGCTTATATTTTAAACTGTTATCATCTTTAGCCCCTCCTTCCCCCCATTCTAATCACTAGAGGCTGGAAAATCCTGTGGAGTCATTGTCTTCCTCCCCTTTCTTACTGCCCCTCCCCAACCAACTCATTCCGAGTCCCACATCCATATCACATCATATGTCATTACTAGAATTTCCCTCCTACCCTGGTCTCTCTCTTCTCCCTGCCCACAGCAACCAGATAGTCTTCCCTAAAAACAGGAAAGAAAAAAAAAGAAAAAGAAACAAAACCAGGCTGTTTTGATGTGGGGAGAGGGTGAGCCCAATCTGGAGAAATGAGATAGATATCAATGAGTTAAAACTTTGATTGCCTGTTATATGCATAGTAGTGAGCTGGGATTGATGCAAAAGAGAGTAATAAAGAAACAGCAACAGCAATCCCTGCCTTCCAGGAGCTTACTAGGGTTGGGGAGATAGATACTCAGATCAGTACCAGAGTTTCCCACATGGGGATCCCTACACCATAGTAATATCATAGGCCTGGCACCCCCGCCCCATTGATTCAATTTATACCAGTTATAGGAAACTCTACCAGTGCAAAAACCAGTGCAACAGTTGTGGGTTTTTTCAGTGTATCTGAGGCACTAAAAGATTTGTCCAATGCTCACACTCAGGGTCACACAAGTCATTCAGTGTTTACAGTATTTCTACATCAGGTATACAAATGGTCTTTTCTTGACTCCAAGACTGGCTCTTTATCCATATGCCATGCTTTCATTTTGCAATAAAAATACATACACATAATAATTATTATGGGGATCAAATTCCCTGAATTCAACTGGATTTTGTGTGGAAGTCTCAATTATGCTCAAAGCAGAATGTCTGATAAAGTCCTGTCTAGATGATCATTTATTTTCCCAAAAAGTAGGAAGCAGTGAGGAGACCTGCTTACTGGACCATTAGGAGACCATTAGAATAAAATGTGAAGTAATGAACTTTGAGAGGTTAAGAAAAACAAAACCTGCCATTAAAAACCTTCCATTTCTTGGCCAGAGAACGAACATGGCTAGAGGTTTGTGTGAGAAAAAAGGGGACAGGAAAAGATAATTTTGCCTATGAGCTCATTATGAATTTTAACCATGAGATATAGATGTGTCTGTCAAAAAAAAACAAAAACCTGATATAATCTTGGACTGCAGTGACTTAAGGTGGGGGAGGGGAGTGTCCAGAAAAAGGGAGGGAGAAGAATGTGCTAGTCCTCTATACTGGTCTCCCCAAACCTGGAGTATTGTATTTAGTTCATTTTATGGGGAATTTAGGGTTTAACAAATGTCGGGAGTCACTAACCAAAGTGACCAGAGGGACATGAGCAGCATCGGATTGCTTATGGAGAAGAAGTAAATAGGAGAGATAGGGGAAAGTTCCCAGAGTAGATTTGACCTATTGTAAGCTCTGTGAAGGCAGGGCTCCAACTTGTTGTAGACCACCCCTCAACTGAACACAGGAGGCACTCAAATGTTTAACTGCATAGTTATTTAATAACTCAATCAACCGAGTCATAAATGTAATATCAAATGCCCCATTAAACTAAGCTGTCCAAAAGTGGAAATTTCCCTGTTCCTGGAAATAGTCAAAGCAGAGTCTGGGTTGCTACCTGTTCATGGACAGTCAAAGAGAAGGTTCGTGGGTATCTCATGTGTTAAACTAGTTATGTAAGTTGGCCCTTGGGGTGTGGGGAGTGAAGCAAGGATACAGGGAAAAATCTAAGTGATATGAAAACAAAAGATATCAAACTAAAGTATTTTTTTACAATCTATTGGGAAAGATAAGAGGGGCTTAGGTAGCAAAGTAGATAGAGTGTCCAACCTGAAGTCAGAAAGACTTCTTCCTGAGTTCCAATCCTGCCTCTGACACCTACTAGCTGTGTGACCCTAGGTAAATCATTTCAACCTGTTTGCCTCAGTTTCTTCATCTGTCAAATGAGCTAGAGAAGGAAATGGTAAACCACTCTAGTATCTTTGTTGAAAAAACAAAACCCAAAATAGGGTCATGAAGAGTCAGACACAAGTGAACAATAAAAGGAGAAATAAATAGATGACAATGCACAAAAATTGTTTAATATAATTAAAATTGTATTAAATATAACTATAATTAAAATATAATTACAATTAATTACTTAGGATAAGCATTCCTTTTTATTTTTGGCCCTACCACCCTCCTCCTTCCACCGCTCCCCTCCCATCCATCCCCACAATCCTTTTCTACAGTGGGCTTAAGAGAGCAAATGTAATATTTCTTTAATGGCACATTAGGAGGCTTCAGTGAGCTCAAAATTTTACAAAGATGAAGAAAGGACCGAGGATGAAACACAGAAAAAGTGATAGTATTCCAAGTAGGCTGGCTGTCCAGCATGAGTTGAGGTTGGTGGGACACACCCAATAGCATTTTTAAAGCTATAATCAAGATTGAGGAATGGATATTTAATATTTTCCTTGGTGGAACTGCTTTGTTAGATTCTTAATTGTCAGATATCAAACTAGAAGGAACCTTGAGAGGATCACAGATGCAGAGCTAGAGAGCATAGGGGACAGAGACCTCACTGTCATCAAGATTGTAATATGAAGCTTGGTGTAGGTTACCTTAGCCTAGGTCTGCACAACATACAGCCCCCTTCAAGGGCCACTTGCGGCTGCCAAAGGATTTTGGGTGGCCTTTGAAAAATGTAGAGGGTATAAAATTTAAGTAAAGATGTAATGAGTGCTTTGACCATCCACAGCCTTCCACTAGTCACTATTGTGCAGGTCAGGTAACTTAGTGACTTGCCACTGTGCATGCTCTCCTGTTTTGTCACATGACCCTCGTCAACCAGCCATCCTCTGTCTCTAGTCTGAGAGGAGTGATTTCATGATAAAAATCTTAAATACTAATTGTAATTAATTGATAATTAATTGAAATGTCCCTTTTTAATATTGCAAAATAGTTTAATCATTAATTATAACTTTACTTGCAAAGTGAACTGCTAAAAACCTATCTGCCGCCTGAAGAAGTTTAGCCGATTTTAATTTTGGCCCCTACCTACTGCCAAGTTGTGCAGGCCTGTCTGTCTTAGCCTTAGAGTTCTGCCTCCCCTGAAGTATTCTGACAGAGAGCCAAATTCTAACTCAGATCCTCAGCTTTAGGAGTGAGAAATAGTGTTATTGGTTATCAGGAACACAAAATTC